CACACAGTAGGTGCTCAATGAATGGACCAGTAATTGTCTTTATGAAGATGCTGGTATCTTTCTCCTTAGTGCTTAGGAAGCAAAAACGACCGGATTTGGAAGAAAAATATGATACTATGTGACAATAGCTAACGTTTATTGACGTTTACTGTGTGTGAGGCACGTGCTAATCACTTTACACGCATTATTTCATTGTAAGGCCACCTTATGGGGCGAGTGCCATTTTAGTAATGAGAAAACCGAGCCTTAGGGAGATGAAGAAACTTAGCCAAGGTCACCCATCTACGTGGCGGAGCAGGGTTGGAAGCTGTGCAGTGTTACCTCAATTCCTATATTGCCTCAAAGAGGCGGGGAGGAAACCAGGAGGATGCCTGTGAATGTGGCTCCGAAGGGCTGGAAGTAGCTGAGGTATAGAAGATGAACCGGAGCCGGTGCCAGGAAACCCTCCTCCCGTGGATTCTATGGCTGGCTTTCCAAGGCCCGAGATGCCTTGGTTAGATTCCGCTACCTGGGGCTGCTGACTGGCCTGAGGTTGCCGTCTCCGTTTTGAGCTGAGGCTTTACGGACCTGCATGCAAGAGGTGGTACAAAGCATTGCACACACCATCTGGGGCCCCGGTTGCATTTGCTGAGTGCTCAGCTGTGCACAGTGTCTCCTTAATGAATCGCGTGCAAGCCCAGCATCGCTGTAGTTATGCAAACCCCAGGGGCTGCAGCGCCCTCTGCTGTCGGACTCACACGTCCCAGGATGGCGCCTCGCAGGTGGTTCCAGTTCCCAGTGTGGCCAGGCACTTCCGGCCCTGCAGTAACCTGTTCCCGGGCAGAACCAGGAGATTTCTGAAGCACCTTTCTAGGCATTCTGAAGCCAGAACAAATGTTTCCCTCCCAAAGTGATAACAGAGACCAAGTGCTAAAAAAAGGGCCTTGAAATGACATCTGCTGTACCCTTATCTCCAAGGCCACCTTTAAAGCCTTGCAGATACACGAGGCATTGTTTTTCTTTTTGCTTCAAGCTTCTCAGGTCTCACAGTGCTCAATGGTCCCCATCATCAGTTTATTTCTTCTGTATATTCTGAAACCTGATGTATCTTTTCCCTTAGTCATCCCTGATCCTCCAAATATTCGTTTTATCTATGTACACTCAGATCAGTCTCAGATCAATGTTGGCCAATACAACCGCTTCTGTGCTGAAGAATCAACAACTATAACAAGAGCTGGTACTTACTTAACACTTACTAACTGCCAGCTACAATAGTAAACACCTAAAGGCATTATCTCATTCATCTTTTCACCTTAAAGGAGCCCTTTGAGCGAGCATCATATCCCCATCTTATCAGTAAGGAAGGTAAGATTCAGAGACATAATTTGTCTAAGGTCACACAGCCAAGTGTATGGAGGAGTCTGGCTAGATAGCAAAGCCCCTTACACTAAATAGCTTTTTGCTTCCTTTCTCTTTCCCAACTGTGGTCATTTCCTTCAACTCTTCCTTTTACTCCCACCAAGTAAAATCACAGGCTTAAAAATTAACACACACACACACACACACACACACACACACACACACACAGATTGATAAGTCTGCAACAATGTTGCCTAATAATGTAGCCGGTGTAAAATGCAAGCCATTTCCCCACAGGATTGCTTTTTTTTTATCCTTTGTGAAACTGAGGCAGGTATCAACTGAATTTCCTTCCCTGACCCAGAGTGCTATGTTAGGCACTAACTTGTGACATGAATGACTGGGAGCAGCTTAGGTTCCCACAGAGGCAGATGCCCCAGTCTTGTCCTCACGAGAGCTGTGTCATCTGCGCTCCCTCGTTAGCTTCTCAGAGCACGGAAGGAGAATGCTGAGCTCTGGTTCCAGCCACACCTCTGAGACAGCGCTTGACCTAGTCACATGACTTGCCGGTGGAAATTAAATTCCGGTTTCCTACAAAGTGTAAAGTTGAGTAGAAGACCTTGACTTGAGCTCACAGCTTGAAAGTCTCTCTTCCTTCTCACCTCTGCCAAATAGCATTTAAAAGACGTCAGTGAAGCCCAGTCACTGCCCCCCCTGGTTCTGTTTCTTCGCCTGTGCCATAGGAAGCCTGGACACGGTGCTCACTGCCCTCGCTACAGCTCGTGACCTAGAACCCCAGGGCCCCGCAGAGCTCTGACTAGAAGTGTGTGTGTGTGTGTGTCTGTGTGTGTCTGTGTGTGTGTGTGTGTGTGTGGAGGCGGGGGGACAAGGCATCCAACCAGGGCCCGTGGGAGCCAAAAAGGGAGTTATTGGAAGGATATTTGTGCAGCTCTGAAAATCCAAAGATTCAATAACCAGACACAGAAAGGTCTGGAACTGGGGTAGCCTCAGGGATCTCTTCAGCAGGAGTTCACAAACGTTTTCCCTCTGAAGTACCACCATTAAGACAACTCCCAACAAAGCCCATTTTTATGTTTCTGTGTTAAAAAATACCAATTCCAGACAGAGAGAGCCTCGTGAGACTATTCAGTTATGGGAGGTGGGGGTGGGGGTGGGGAGGGTCACCCAGCAGGAAAAAGCTGCTGGAGGCCTTTCTTGTAGGCAGCACAGGTGGCTCCTAAGGAGAGGACCTGGTCCCCCACCCCACACACACGCACACACATGCATGCATGAAAATTACAAATAAGTGTATCTTACAGAGAAAGTCTAAATAATGACGAGTCCACCGTGGGCAGCCACGTCTGGGTAGTAAATGTGGGTGGGAGACACCATAGACCAGTAACAGGGATTATGGTGGTGTTTGTTAAAGGTTTTCAGGTAGCTGAGACAAGGGGAACAGCAAGGGATTTCAAGGGAAGTGGCTTGGGGGGTAGGCCTCCTTCAGCTTGGCTTTGGGCACAAAGGAAAACTAACAGCCTGTCTCATGGGGAAGCCACCGCCCCTTTGAACTAGGATCCTCCCTTCTTTCCTGCCAGATCTGTCCCATCTTTTCCACTTTGATGGGATTTGGGCAAGTTCCAACCCCTTTAGAGTATTGTGTATCCTTATCTGTGAAGTGCAAATGATAGCAAAAATAATTCTGCCCCTACAATTAACAACAGCAAGACAATAGCTTACATTTACTGGGCCAGGCCCGTGCTGAGCCCTGGCCTGAGAGCTGGCCTCACAGGCCTTGGACACAGTGCAGCTGTCACCTTCATTTTGCAGGTGAGAAGCCCAGGCTTAATGGAACTAAGAGAGTCACGAAAGCGTATAGCCAAGTGGCATACAAACTGAGTGATGGCCAGGTTTGAATTCCGGCGTTCACGCACACGGATGTGGAGTCCTTGGGCAGGTTGCTTGAGCTTGGTCATTCTGTAAAATGGGGATAACGATAGGGCCCACCTCATGGTGTCACTCTATCTATGGACCGTGCAGGGCAGAGTAATGCCCTGTAGTATTTGCTGTTATTCCTAAGGGCTGTTAGAATAGGGCAGAGCAGAGATTGGAACCCAGAGCCCATGACTCTGAAACACATACTCCACGGCAGACATCTGTGCCAGCGCAGCCAGAAGGTTCGGAAGTGAGTCGTGTAGGAGAGCGGAGAGGAGTCAGGTGGGGACGTAGGGAAGGGAAGAGAGAGGGTGAGAAGCTATGTCAGGACCCATGGGGCCTCTCACAGCCTCGTCTCTGTGGCCTTGAGCTAGATACCCAGGAAGTCAGCAGCAGTCCCTGTAATGGCTGCAACAGTCAGCGCTGGCTTCCCCTGAGGCTTCTCACTTCAGGAGGACCTTAGGAAGGGGGAATTAAGAAAAGGAAGGAAAGAGAGATGGTGACTAAAGACAGAGAGAGAGAAATCAGAGGTAAACAAAGAGCCCCACGAGAGAGAATGAGTGAATGATACGCAGAAGAGGATAAGTAGAGAGACACACTTACAGAAAGGAAGTCAGAAGCAGAAAGATGGGCGAGCGCATGGGTGGGGGTTTAGTGGAGACGTTCTCTGCAAGGTGGACTGCCAGTCCTGTGGCTGACAGAGCAAACAAACCCGTTCAGTGTGTCGGGGCTTTATCTAAGGACAGCACCTTTCCCACAGCTGTGGCCCAGCAGCGGGGACTGTGTAGGGCTGTGACAGGAGATGCGCTTTATCTGAATTGGGGACAGAAGCGATCTTCTCTGTATTTCGCTCAGGATGCCACAGATTAGGCTGTGGATATTTCACAGTTTGCGATAAAGCCTTGTTTGGAGAAGCCTTGGGCTGAACTGCACTCCAAGGCTGGGTCAAGAGGGCGATAAGACTCAGGGCTTGGAGGCTGATTCTATACGAGGGGTGGTTTCTATAAAAAGTCACAGGTGTGTGTATCAGCACAGGGCTTGAAAACCTCCGTGAGGCTATCCGTCAAAATGTTGACACTCACTAATCTCCGGGTAGGATTAATGAGGCATCTCACTTCATAAGTGATGCATTTCTGTTCTGTGTACATCTTGTACAGGAACAACACAGGGCCTTTGTAATCAGAGGAACACAAGGTGTCAAGTAGGTAACAAGCACGCTCCTGAAATGACAGGGCAGCTAAAGCGAGGCCCCTGACGTGGAACCAGCATGACCCTGTTTATCTGACCAGCGGGCGATGGCGAACGGAAGGGCTGTGTTTTGGAAATAGTTCCCCTTGATGTTTGCACGATGCTTTGAAAATCAGACACACACAGTGTACTCTCTGATTCTTCAAGAAGGGTCAAATTATTAATGTCTTCTCGGCTCGGACAAGTTTTATTCCTTTGAGGTTCTTCAGGGTTTCATTAAAAAAGAAGGTGGGGGCGGATTTGTGATGCGGGTCTGTGGGAGCGGCTCTGCTCAGTGTGCTGGACCTAGGGTTTTCCCTGGGTGAGTTATCCACATGCAGCAACTGCTGAATCGTCTACCGCTGCTCCCCCTCCACACCCCCCCAAGTCCCCATCTCCCAGCCTGTCTCTTTTCAATTTTAAATGAAGTTTGCGGCTGGCTCACACTTTGAACGGTATTGCCCTTGGCTTGAGAAAAATGACGCAGATGTGTCTTCTTCCAGGCTGTATGAAGGCAAAGAACAGATGGAGTTTGAAGAATCCATGAGACGGCTCTTTGAATCCATCAACAACCTGATGAAAAGTCAGTATAAAACCACCATCCTTTTGCAGGTGAGTTCACACTACAAAAGTCATCTGTCTTTCCCTCGGCCGTTCGATAAACAGTGGTGACGCAGTATCTCCTTTTGCCTGGACATGCAGCCCTGTGTTAACTGAAGGCCGTGACGGGCCCCACGATATAAGGATCCCGCAGACCAAGGGCTCCTTAGGGCAGGAGAGAAAGCATATGCACTTCTTTGTTTCCCGTGAAGGTCGCTGTACCTCTTTTAAAATGGCGCTGAAGCTTTTGCTACGTGGAAGGAAGTAGGTCAAACCTGCCCCACTTCTAATGGTGAGAGAAGTCAAGGTGGCATCTCTTAAAACCATCTACATTTCTTCCCCAGTGTCCTAAACTCAGGTCCTTCTTTGAACGAAGAGGCCATTTCAGGAAGACATCATAACCACACATATCTTGGGGGAAGGGACAAGGACAGAGCGGGGAGAAGGTAGGGGAAGAAAGGAGAAGCAAGGAAGCAACGATGAGCCAGTGGGTGTCTGCCATACTGAGGAGCCCTGGGTCACCAAGAGTGTCCTTTGTCTTCTGTAGGACCTTACGCTGGTCGTGTGACCTCTCAGTGTCTCATTGTCCTCATCTATAAAACTTCACTGTTTGGGCGAGAATCAAATAAACATTGTCTGAAAAAGAGCAAAGCACAAAACGCTATGCAGATGTGGCGAATGAATGCGGCCATTGTGGTTTTGGCACAGCTCTTCTCTTACTCAGGCTCTGATTGTCTGGGCAGCAGTGTAACAAATGCCGCGTTTTCCCTGGGACTCGGCCCAGATTGTGCTGGCTTCTCCTCAGGGATGTCTACCCCAGAGCCGTGGCAAGGGGCTTCATCTCTTTTTCAGTTTGCTCCAAGGGCCAAATTTAGCCTCAGGGATTTACATAAAATCAGCGAAGCTTTCTACCTATTTGGGTGGTTGTGGGAAAATTATCAAAGAAAAATGTCAAGTCACGTTCAAATATAGGAGCAATACCATTTCAAGATAATTGAATGCTGCTCAATTGGGGTATGAGGAAAGGGCTGACGAGGGGAAGTGGGGTCAAGGCCATGTGATGTTAGCAAACCCCACACAAGGAACCTTCTCCGATGTGGACATTTGCTACAGGAGAAAAATTTGGATTTCGAGCCAGAGAGAGACCTGGGTAGGAGGTTGGGTGTCCACACCTGGGTGCACAACACCGGGCAAATCATTTCCATTCTCTGGGCCTCCGTTTATCCTTTTATGAAATGGGAAGCCTTAAGGTCTAATTTAAGGGATTATTGAGAGGATTACAGTAATGTATGTAAAGCATGATGTATAGAGCCTGTTTTACCTAGTTCAATTAAATAAGTTTTATTCATGTATATCTCTCCCTCCTTTATCTCATCATGAAGCAGAAGCTCTCAGGGGCATTTCCCTAGAGCAGAATCTGGAAGGGCGAAATAATATTTGTGTTTCTAATCCTATCACAGGAAACGATGTCAGCACATTCAGGTATCAATTTCAAGAGAAACCCCCAGAGACTGAAGGCGAAGTCTCACCAAGTGAAACAGTCAGGTCACTGGAGTCCTGACTCTGAGCCTGAGTGGGGGACTGTGGGAAAGGGTGCTGCGATCTCCGAGTAATGCCTGCCATACGTTCTGGGGGAGAGCAGAGTGAGAATGCCAATGATTGGCATTCCTGGTTCAGCCTTTACACTTCCAGCTGGTTAGCGGCTTATGGCGGAAACCCTAATTCATGCCTGCCTTAGGTTGGAGTACAGCCGATCTGGTTCAATCTCAGCTTTGCCCATTGTGAGCACTGGGACCGAAACAAGTTATTTCTGCTTTCCAAGGCTCAGCTAACTTTTGTGAATGGCTTTCTGTAGCTTTCCTCACCGTTCAGCATTGCCATGGAAGCAGGTCCCCCAAAACTGTAGAGAATTGAAAGCCAGCCATGCAAAAAGGGTAGAAAAAGCATTAAAAACACCTTCCATTTGTTAAGTACTTGTCATGTGTCCAGAGACGCTGGGCTTTCATATACAGTATGTTTACTCCTGGCAGAGATCTGCGAGGAATCACTGTCTGCAGTTTCCACAGAAGGCTCGTAAAGTTAAATAATTGATCCCAAATTATTCCTGTTCATAGTGGTGGAGGTAGGATTTCAATCTGCCCAGGTCTCTTAACTCCAAAGTTAATATTCTTCTCTAAGCCGCAAGACATGCGTTAGGCTAGGGGGGGTTCCATGTGCTTTCAATAACGGGCTGTATACTAGAAGTCTCTGTGTGTGCCAGCCCTGTAAGCGTTGTTGATAAAACTGATGGCAGATTGAGACAGTCAACACGAGACACTTGTGAATTGGACATAACTCAAATGTGAGTACAGGGCATTTGGGGACATCGTGCAGACCCATTTGACCCCTTCTCCTTTAGGCCTGTGATTCACCATCATGCTCCAATTTAGTGGTACAAGTGAAAATAAACGAACAGCTCAGATTGCATGACATGCTCACTTGGTCACTATGATTGCCACTCCTGCGACTAAAGCCACTGGAATGTCCAGGAGGGCAGGAGGCTCTGTCTTTATATCTGCGATATCTGAACCAGACGCTGCCACGTAGTAGGTACTCAAATATCTTTTGGCTGGATGAATGAAAGAATAAATACTAGCTTCCACTGTTTTATGTTTTAGCATTTATTATGTGTCACGCATTGATCTGAAAGCTCCGCATATATTGTTAGCTCTGTTGCTTTTTATAAAAACAGCCTTATTGGACAAAATTCTCTTATTATTCATAATCTACAGATGAGGGAGTGAGGGCTTAGAGAGGTTGAGTGACTTAACCACAGCTGAGAAGAAGCAGGTCTGGGATTTGAACCCAAGCTATGTAAGTCCAGAGTCTGCGTTCCTAATCACCACCAAACAAAGGGTAGTTTCATCAAAGACCCAAGTCTCCTGGCGAAACGCCTGGCGGATAAGCAGTAAGCAGCAGTAAGGGCGGGCAGATGTTTGCTCCATAATCATGAAGATGACTCATTAAGGATGCCTCTTTCTTTCCTTCCTTTTCTTTGTTAATTGGTGTAAAATATTCTCATGTCCAAACTAAGGGAAGAGAGTGGCCCGTTCCTGAGAAGTGGCCTATGAGCTATACACTGACTCCTCAGAGGTAGGAGAAATGAGATGTAATACTTAACAGCAGGGCTGGAGTGTCACTAGGTCTTTAAATGATTCTTGAATTGTGTCCTCTTCTCAACCATATAGCCCGTGCTTAGGGTTCATATTTAGGAATGATGGATTTACGGTGGGTAGGATGACATTGTGTGATAAAGAGGCCACCATAGTCATACTGTAGCTCACGTTTTTCAATTAATCTTCACACCAACCCCGTAAAGTGGTAACTTTATTCCCTTCATTTCCCTGATAAGGAAACTAGACTGCATAGCGTTAACTTCCCCAGCAACACCTCGATAAAAGTGATCCAGCTGGACTTGAGCACAGACAGCCTGCCTCTTCTGCCGTTTCATACACTGAGCATCTCTGCCTCCTGCCAAGCCTCAGGGGCCAGCACGATGCTGCTTTGCAGAAAGCATGGAGACATGCATATTCCAGAAGCTTTGGTTCCTCTTCCCTTTTTCGCTGAAAGATTAGTGATGAGGCTGACTATCCTGAGAGACTTCTGTGCTTTTCCTCAGGGCAGCTCAGCATCTTCTGGTCATGCTGGGGTGAATTCCTGTGACATCGTCCAGGGTCCATGGACCTTGACCATGCACTACGTGGCTAAAACAAAGATTGAAAATGGGTGGGATGGGAATATTGTCTGGGCTCTTGAATGAGGAAAACACCACGCGTTCTTGTATAACCTGGCATCATCGCACAGAGTGCTCTTTGGGGCAGAATCATGTCTGCCGGCACCAGTGCTGGGCCCACTCGCTCTGTTTTCACAGGAGAGAGGCAGAGAGCCTGAAAACACTCAGAAGGAACGTCCCCTTTGAGTTTGAGAGAATACAGCTGTTTGGTTTTATTTTTTGTTGTTATTTTTTGCTGTTTGCTAGCAGCCCAGGTTTATCAATCCTGGTGAAGTCCATCTGGATAGCAGACATCTTAAGTGTCCTCCTGTGACTTCTCTCTGGACCAATAAAATCACTATTGCTTGGCCTGGGTCTGGCTCTCTCCGTGAGGGCAGCACCTGGGCCTCTGGCACAGGGGTCCAGAGTTGATGATTAATCTAAGAAATTCACTTGGTGTCACCAGTTACTGACCTGCAAAGGTTTTCCTGGCGACTATTCTTCCAACCCCTGTATATGTGGTAAGGAGGACCCATAACTTAAGGGATGTTGGAAAAACTGTACCTTCTTTCAAAAACTGTCATCATAAAGAGAGGGGTACTCTTTGTCCACCTCCTCCACCAAATCAACCCTCTCTCCTCTGCTGAAACTTCCCCGCTTGCCAAGATGGAAGCCTTTCCTGAGGCTGGATGGGAACTAGCAGAGCATCCTGGTAAGGAGCCAGTTGGACAGCGTCAGGTCCACAGACTTCCTGTGCTGCCTATTAGCTATGTGGCTTCTGGCAATTTGTGTAACCTCTGTGCCATAGTTCCCTTATTGGTAAAATGAGATGACAGCATACTCATAGAATAGATGTAAGAATGAAGCAAGGTTATGAATGTAAAGTATTGGACATACGTAACGTTTCCAATAATAGTTGCTGTTTTAAAACCCTACAGTTAATATCCTATTATATATGTGTATGTGTTTATTTTCCTGTTCTATGTACACACGTGTATATTCATACACATACATAAACGCGTGTATGTTTTTCTTAAATATTATATATAATATAGGTATGTATACTATGGAATGAAAGTAATAACATGACAGTATCATTTTATGTAGAGCAGTGGTATTAATGAGAGTAAAAATAACAGCAATAGTAAAGCAGCACAGCTCCAGGAGGCCAGCAGGCCCAGAGAGCTGAGCTGTTTCTAGAAACATGCACCCGTGGAGGTACGGCCCCAGCAGGTCTTATGGCCGAGCTGCTCTGCCTTCCGAGGAGAACACCTGCTGAGCCTACCTGCTGTCGCTCCACTCAGGTGTGTCCCAGGGTTGTGTGAAGGGGGGCACTGTGGACAGGAGCCCTGGGGCCAGTGCTGTACTGGGACAGTGCGGCTGTGACAACAGGCTGGGCAAACTTCCAGCGTCAGAGATGAGCTGTCCCCATTGGAAAAGCAAACCACGGGCCTGCCACTTCTCTGTGAGGCCGCCCGGACGAGTGGGGAGTTACTGCTCTCTGGTTGAGTTGATAACAGCCTCTGAGTCTCAGGGTGACAACTATGCCGTCTGTTTTACTTTATAGCCAGCCCAGGGCTGGAAGCTGGGAAGGTTGGCTCCTCCTGAGGCCGTCCTCCTCCCAGCCCCGTCCAGCGCCTCCTCACAAATAGCTGGAGTGTTACATTGTGAGCGCAGATGTAGACTCCTGGCCATGCTGTTCTGCAGCGTCACTCTAAATCCTGAAGGGATCGCCGCCCTAAAGCCAGCAGCTTACAGCAGACACTGAAGTGCTGGCTGTCCCCAGCTTGCTGCGGGTTTGTCTTTGTTCTCTCACTTTCGTCTTGATGCCGATGAGTACATATTATACTCTGTCCAGGCGCGGGACAATGAGGGCAGATGCTCGACAGGTGACATAAGGAGAGACCCAGAACACATACTTTTACGGGCATGCTGGCCATTAGACTAGCTGCGTGGTATGCTTGATTTCACATCATCCCCCTTTCTGCTGAGGCTCGGGGGGCTGAGGAAATGGGCCTCGGAGTGTGCCGGTGCTGGCTTCTTCCTGTCGCTTGCCCAGCTCTGTAGGCATCCGCTTTAGCTATATACCTGCTTGGTGTTTCCTGATATAGCTGGCCTGGCCAGCTAGGTGGGAATGCAGTGTGTCCTATAATGGGCTGGAGGAACGTCATAATGCATCTTGGCATATTAAGATTATGAGAGTTCCATGATAAAAAAATCAACTCAGTGGTTTATCTTTACTTATGCCAAACTTTCCCTAAATTATTCAATTGCAAATTCCTTTTCCTCCATAGAATACCTAACACCACCCTATGGGACAAGGGTGTCCCAATAGAACATAGTTTTAGAAACATCAGCTTTTGAATCTTGTTATCTCTTATCTTGATTTGAAAGAGTAAAAAAATAAATCCCTAGACACAGAATCCAATAAGTGTAAAGAAAAAGTCTGACAAATCTGAGGACATACAAATTAAATCCTTCTATTCAACAGAAGATATGATAAAGCTTGTCTTTTAGACAAGCAGCAGTCAAACTAAGGACAAGCAAGACAGCATTTTTGCAAAATGTCTTACTATTAAAAGGGTTAATATTAATAATACATAAAGAATTCCACAAACCAATAAGAAATCTCCCCACCCCCAAATGGGGAAAGAATATGAACCAAGCAATTTAGTAAATGCCAATGTTCAATAAATACAGAAAAGGTGTCTACCTGTACTAGAAACCAAAGAGTTGCAAATTATATATCAGATATTAAAAAGATTTATATACCAGGATTAGCAAGGTTATAGGGCACAGAGGGAAAGGAAATTGGTTACCACTTTTTTCTAAGGTAATATAACAATATCTCCGTAAATGTATATGGATGTACATTTGTATATATGTGTATATATGTTTTGAAACACTAATTCCTTTTCAAGCAGTCCATCCATCCTACAGGTAATCTTACAGATACACAAATGTATATGTTAAATATTTTCTTACCATATATTTTGTCATAAAGAAAAACAAAAAATAGCATGGAGTCCATCAGCACAGGAGGGCTTGAAAAGGTACAGAGTGTGCATGCACCCGGGCATCGCTGTGTAGTGGTTGGAAATGATGTGTATACGTGGTGTCTGGTTAGCTGCCAAAAACAAGTTGCACAGCTGTATAAATCACACACACACACACACACACACACACACACACACACGTGCACATACATGCACGCACACACGCTCATGCATAGAAAGCAGTCTAGAAGGACACTCACCACCTGGGGAGTAGGGATTTGGGCCGAGCTGGTGATGTGGGACTTCAGGGGTAATTTTTGCCCTATTACTTTATCTTGTGTGAATTTGTTTACATCAAACATTTATCACTGACTTTTAAAAATCATAAAGAACCAGGGAGGAAGGATGAAGGCATAGAGAGACACTTCCTATTTAAGTGCGGTGGGCATGGAGTTCCGTGGTTAGAAGGGTGGCTTGACAAACGCCTGCCTGGATCGGAATCCTTGCTCTCCCATTGGCTAGCGGAGTTCCGTGGTTAGAAGGGTGGCTTGACAAACGCCTGCCTGGATCGGAATCCTTGCTCTCCCATTGGCTAGCGGAGTTCCGTGGTTAGAAGGGTGGCTTGACAAACGCCCGCCTGGATCGGAATCCTTGCTCTCCCATTGGCTAGCTCTGTGACCTTGGGCTAGTTATTGAATTTGGATGCATTAGAGGTTCCTTATCTATGAAAAAAGTATTTCCCTTGTAGGGCTGAAATAAGGTATTCACCTAAAAAAAAAAAAGCCAAAGTGAGAGGCAACAAGCGTTTATTTGGGATAAAAAAAGATTATATTATAATTCTTGGGGCAGAGATTGAGGCAGAAACCCAAATAGTGTCCTGATTATGGGGTAAAGGCAAGAAGTTTTTATGAGAAAAAGGAAGGGACATAATGATATGCATAGAAGAAAGGAATTTCTACTGATGTTAACAAACTGAGCTGCTCTTTAGCCATACATGGCTGGTTGCTGATTCTATCTTCAGAAAGAGAGCCCATAATTGTCAGTCCTTGTGATAAGTCCTTGTTTTACATCAAACATTTATTACATCAAACTGAGCTGTTCCTGTGAGCTTTGCAAACAGTTGTTCGTAAGACCATGTTGGTTTGGCCGAAGTCTAAAGGATATTTTGCCCAGTTCCAACATTCCAGGGGTTCAAGGAGTAAAACATGCCAGGCAGTTCCTCCAGAAAGGCGGCCTTGGCTGTTTTTCGAAATGGCTCTGCTTATGTCATTTTCCACAAAAGTTGAACAGGATAACCTAACCACAGTGCTCAGCATAGTTTCGGCCCCACTGCAAGCTCTCAGAGAGCAGTCATAACCGTTATTTATGCTAACTACGAAGCTCAATTGTACATGGCTAGGAGCAAGATTTTAAGACAGGAATTTCCACTATTTTAATTTTGGTCTGATTGCAAAATGGCGATACTGTTGACTGTAGAACACTTAGAATATACAGAAAAAGAAAAAGGAAATTAAAAAATGCTTACTTCCATTAGATTCTTCAAAATTGTTTTCCAGCCACATGACTTACATCTCCTTTTGTGGAAATGGCAGCCTCCTCTGCTGATTAGCAGATGGCACTGTCATATGAGGGGGTGGGTGTGTCTCCTACTTCTGGATGCATCAGTTGACTTACACAGGGAAAGAACCATCTGCCATAACGCCGTTTTTCTAAGCCAGCTACTGGACCAAAACAAGCCCATGATTGTTCACAGATGGGCCGGGGAGAAAAAATATGCATGCCTTAGTCAAGCCATCCTTGCCACCAACAAAGCAGTTCAAGCACATCATCTTCCAATGATGACAGAAGGTACTATTTATTGAGCACCAAAAATATGGCTCTGTGCTGGATGCCTCACTTATATCATTTTTAATCTTCACAATCCTGCAAAATAAGTATTATTTCATCAGTATTACAGATAAGGGAACTGAGACACAGAGAGGTTAAGTGTTTTGTCCAAAGCCACGTGGCTACTCAGGAGTACAGCCAGGATTTGACTGCAGGTCTGTATAACTTCAAAGTCCTTGATCTTTACTATTCATTGCTGCCTCCTTCAAGATATAGGAAGTTGTGACTTACTTCTGCGTACAAAGAGCGTGCTAATGTCTTGAATCTCTGCAGCAGTGCCCAGGATGCAGCGTTGTTCTTTCTTGATCTGTGCCAGGTTGCACAGTATCCTCCTCATCAGGTGGAGTTGTTGGATGTGGGCAGCACTCATGTTTATTTCACTTCCTACCTAGGTGGCGGCTTTGAAATACATCCCATCTGTCCTCCATGATGTGGAAACGGTCTTTGATGCGAAGTTACTCAGGTGACAGCATGTGATGTACTTTTCTGGGCTCCGTTACCAAGCCAGGGATTCAGAGGGAGAGGAGGTTTCTCGTGGGGGTTTCCAGATGGGCACTCAGTGTGGGAACAGGGAGGGCACAGATTAGGGGCTTCTTACTGGGCCTCCAGGGTGAGATTTTTATACTTTCATTTTGTTGTGTCCGGGCTTTGATGAAAACCAACTATAAAATAGGCATCCTTTTTTTGATGATACAAATGCTACAGAATACAAACTTGTAGGTTAAAAAACTAATGTTTGGTGTAAATAGGCTTGAAGATTATTTGAGGGGTCCCAGTCTTTGCCCTGAAAACCCTTTTGCTGTCTTCTTTTTCACTGCATTCTTCTCATGAGATAAATATTCTTTTAATGGGATTATGCTGTTAGAATAGGGCTATCTGAGCCAGATACGCCCTTTTCTTCTTTTTTCTTCTTTTTTTTTAAGATTTTTATTGGGGAATTGGGAGATGGGAACAGCGCTGGGGAATTGGGGGAAGGGGAACAGACAAGTTGCCGTCCTTTTGTTCTTCAGTCTAGTTGTGGAGGAAGTTGCTTCACTGGCCCAAGTTGGCACCATCATTGCACTCTTCCCGGGTGAGGCAGATCAGTCACCGGCTTCTGGACGGCCGCTCACTGCGGCTGCTGGCCGCTAATGCTGGCTGCTGGCTACACACGGTAGCCCATGGCAACCCACTGCAGCAGGGGCTGCAGCCTACGCCATGGCCAGTGACCCACGGCAGCCCAGCTCCAGATTGAGCTGTTGTTCAGCATCTTAGCTGTAGAGGGCAGTGTCACTGGCTCTCATGTGGGATTCAAACCAGGGCCCTCTGGCGTCCCAAGCCAGCTCTTAACCAATGTGCCACTCGGCTGACCCCCTTTTCTTCTTTTTTTCTATACTGACTTAAATTCCAAAATAACATATAGAAAAATTTTAAAACTTTTTATATTGAAATACTTTTAGATTTAAGAAAGAGTTGCAAAAATAGTATAGAGTTCCCATATAACTGTCATTCAGCTCCCCTTAATGTTCATATTTCCCATAACTATGGCATATTTATCAAAACTGAGAAATTAACCTTGCTACAGTTATATTTACTGCACTCCATACTTTATTCAGATCTCAGCAGTTTTTTGTTTTGTTTGTTACTGGCGTCCCTTTTCCGTTCATATGATGATTTCTGCTGGCTTCTTCTCATCTCTCTGGCCTTGAACTAACTGATTTTCTTAGAGAAGCTACCTCTGTAAATAAGTTAAATTCCTTCCCCAGCCCCTGCACCATTGCTCTCTGACATAACTCCCTATTTATTTTCTCCATTGTCTATATCATCTCATATTGATTTGTTTACTTCTGTGTTACGTGGACCTCCATTCGAATGTGAGTTCCATGCCAACTGGGTCCACGTTTTTTCCTCCAGTCTCCCCACCGCTCTGCACATTTCCTGTCACATAGTAAGTACAGGCTTCATAAGTACTTGAAAGAATGAATGAACACAATGAGTTTATTTTTGAAAGCTGCCAAGGGCTATAATTCTGCTTCATCAGTATTTTATTTTCACTCAATCTGGGAAGAGCTATCTTCTTTGTCATGTCCCAAACTGGTTCTAAACCACAACTTTTCAGTTTTTTTTTCTTTTTCTTTTTTAAATTAAGCACCATTTTGATCTTAAGACTTATCATAAAGCATTCATTACTAAACATCAAACGTTAAAGAAAAGCGTATGGTAATGAAGTGAGAGCCTGATTTTAAACCCTTGTTTCTTTGATCCCCGCCAGCTGTGTAACCTTGAGAAAGTTAGTTAAGCTTTCTAAACCTTAGTTTTCCCACTTGTAAAAGTGGGGTAAGTATTGGATCTACCTCACAGAGCCATGAGGTTTAAATGGCATGGTGGACATCAAGGGCAAAGCATGAGCCTGATACACAGCGAGTGCTCAGGGGGACTGGAGTTACCTCCAGGCTTTCACACCTCCTTGGATGCTATTAATATTCAACGCTACACACACTCACTGAAAGCTTACTGTGCAGCTGACACTCTGCCAGGAATGGGGGGCCCAGGGAGCTTGCAGTCGGGGGACGTGAGGTGGGAGACACTGGCCTCACTGGCTCTCTGTGCTCCTGTTTTTCCTGCCCTCAGCCAACTGCTGTATGAGTTCTACACCTGCATCCCCCCCGTGAAACTCCAGAAGCAGAAAGTCCAGTCCATGAATGAGATCGTCCAAAGCAACCTCTTCAAAAAGCAAGGTGAGTGCAAAGCGTCCTGGCTGGGCGGGCGGGGCCATAAACCGACATCCTCCCCAGGGCAGAGCAACCTGCCCAGCTATTGAAATGGTTCTTCCCTAACAATGCCCTTAGTCTGAATAAATGTAGAAAGTAGCAGACAACTTAGACATCAGAATCTAAACTGATTTTAGGGACCTTAGGTCGTGCTGTTTGTGTCTGTCGAGGAAGTTTCATGAGGTGGTAAATTTGGCGTCGGAGACCGTAGGTTGTGCTGTGAGGTTTTTCCCTGGATGGCTTCTACTTACTGTCCTCACCGTGAGAGGAAGGAGGTGAAGTTCCTGGCAGTAGGAAGAACCTGTAGCGGAGAAGTTTTCAAAACTTCAAGTGCGAGAAAATGGAGAGGTTGTTAAAATGCGGATTCCTGGGACCCATCTCAGAGACCCTGATTGAGCTTTCTTTTATAGTTTTTAAAAATGTAAATTATTTTTGAATAGGTAACACATTTACATAGGTCGAAATGCCAAGGTATGAAAGGGTATCACATGCAAAGGGTCCCTTCAGACCTGTGCACAGCCACGCAGACCCGTTCTCTGGAGGCAGCCGGTGGTTCCAGCCGCTTGTGTTTGCTTCCAGGACAGTCCATGCATAAGAGCTGAATACATATACAGTTAAACCTTGAACAATGCAGGGGTTTAGGGGCACCAGCCGCCTATGTAGTCGGAATCTGCATGTAACTTAAGTTGGGCCTCTGGATGTGGGGATTCCCAACCATGGAGGTGACCCTTGAGCAACATGGGTTTGAACTGCGAGGGTCAACTGAAGAAACCTCCATGTTTAAGTGGACCTGTGCAGTTCAAACCCATGTTGTTCAAGTGTCAGCTCTATACCACAGCTATATTCTCCCGTGGCCTTCTGTTATTGTTATTACTCAAATAGTAGCATTTTACACAACTGTTCTGTACTCTCCTTTCCTTCCTTAACGGCATTGCCGGGAGAGCAGCGCATGACGGTGGATTTGGGCAGGAGTTGTGGTCAAGCTTCTGCTCGCCCAAACTGACCCCGGGTAACCACATGTCCCCTGACTGGTACGCCTCTGTCAAGAGCCTCGCTGTTTTTGCGCTCAGCGAGCTGGATGGCCAAACCTCCTCCAGATATGACCAGACAGGCCTTAGGAATCATTCTTCGCCATCCACCGTGTCTCCAGCCACACTCAGCATTCCTGACATCGCGCCTATCTGTGAGGGTAAAAACAATGACTCTTGAGGGTCAGCGGTGTTTTCTGTAGCCTAAGATCAGCCCTTTCCAATTTTAAATTTCTCTCTGTCCGTACTGGTGTCAGGGATAAAATGAGAAGCAAAATGTGCAAGGAACAAGAGGTCTTAGAGCAGAGAATCAGTCATCACCCAACAAGTATTTATTGAGAGTGAGGCTTGAATATTTATGTAAATCGCCTGGTAATTACGGAAATATTCAGGAACCACTTCACTGTAAAGATTTTTTCCCCCAATGCATGGTTAACGTGGTGCATGCAGAATTGCTGCCGGGATCTCTGAAGCTAGGGTAGGAGAAGAACATGGGAAGAAAAGTGTTCTTGTGAATTTGTATTCATGTCTGTAGTCACCTGACCGTTTAAACAGCGTGTGACAACAGATTAATGCAATACATATATGGGTTGCTTGCGCAAGGTGGCTGGAAACTAATCCTGCTAAGTGTGCTGCGTATTTTGTGTTGCTAGATCTTTTAAAGTGAGCCTGCCATGGTTTTCACGTCTGACTTGTACATCAGAACGAACTGCCCTCACTCTGAAAGCTTTGAAATGCATCTGTCCCTTCCTGCCCTGGCAGCCCTGCTTGGATTTCAGGTGGTGTCACTGTAGAGATGAAATGAGCCCTGTCCTAGGGGACATGACGAGGATGACTCTAACTACATGTGGTGTTGCACAGGCATCAGAGAGTAGGGCCACTTGGCTCTCCTTCATTGTTCAGAGCTGCTGTCACTGTCAGGGACCCCGCTTAGCATCAAGGCCAGATGAGCACTGCGCCATCCTGGACGGGGCATGTGGTAGCAGGTGCAGCCTGTGGAAGTCGGAGTAATTCCTTTACTGGAGTCACATCTCCTGGGCTTGGCGGTGGCCTCTGAGGATTAGCATAATCACAGGGCAAGCTGGACAGCTGCTGCCCACCATCCTGCTGTGTCTCTGAGTTTCAGACTCAGTAAAAGCCCTCTGATTAATATGAACAGACAGAAGGCCAGCTGTGGTATTGTACACAGTTATAAAATAAACGTAAAATTCTTACCTTTAATACACCCAGACACTAGAAGTAGGCTGACAGAGAGCCCCCTGGGGACCCATTTTAAAGAAGAAGCCATGTATGATTCGTCTCTCCATCCTGGCTCTCATGTGAAAGCTGTATGCTCTCACACACAGCTTAAGGTAACTCCTCTCCCACTGTTTATTTGCTAAGTGAACCCTCTTCTCAAAATAATCCCCAAGGGAAACTTCAGCTTTTCCCCCTTCTTAAGTGCTCAGGTCCCAAATCAATTCAGTCTGAATCCACACGGGCTGCCTGGGTGTCGGTGGCTCCTGTGTGAGTGACTCTCTGTCTACACGTCAATAAGGTGAGTGTTTGGCCCTGGCCAAGCTGGAGCTGTAATGAAGTCCCTGCTGTTCTTTTCCCTGTGAAGCGTCCTGCGCCTCAGGGACGTGGTTTGCTTTCAGCCTGCACTCATTTCGCTGCCAGATGTGCACATTACCTGGATTATTGTCGGTGACATCAGCTTGTCCTTGCAGCCTGAACATTTGTGCTGGCATCAGGCAGAGGGCAGGCCTTGAGGCACTTTGTGTAGTGTTGGCAGACATCCTGTTGGCCTATCTTCAGGAGGATCCTGGGGAGAAAGAGAGACTTTTCGGTTAAGGGCACTGGTATTTGGGTCTCACGAGGCCTTGGTTGGACTCCAGGTTCAGCCTCTTATCAGCTGTTTGACTATGAGCAATGTACTTAACCTCTCTGATCCTCAGTAAGCTCATCTGTAAAATGGGAAAAATCATAACAATGTCTGTCTTCGAAGGTGGTTGTGTGGGCTGATGAGACAGATAGTGCATTGAAACAGCGTAGAGCATTACGATCCCAGCATAATGCCCCATATTGAGTGGTCGCTGTTATTACTGGGGCTGTGGTTATTGCTTCTACTGCTCCTTCCATTTTCCCAACTTCTGTCCTGACTTTCAGATTCCTTGCAATAGGGGAGCCCCTTCATGTTGGATAGTTGTGTGTAACCCTAAGCCATGGTTCCTCGTCTCCTTGGAAGCGACGTGTTTTTCCTCAGGAGCTGAGAAACAGGGGGCTTAATGAATAAGAGGACCTGGGTCTGTGTGTGCTTCCCACTCGGGCATTGAATGATTTCTCCAGTTTTTATTTCATTTCCCTGGAGTGTTTTGAGAGGGCCCATACTGGGTTTGCCTGGAAGAAGCAGAGGTCAGGGCGAGATGCTTCTGGTTTCTTACTTCACTGCTTCCCTTGCTGCAGCCTCAATGTAATCACATAGCTTGGGACACCTGACAGCTGTCTTGTACGATGGTTTGCTCCTTGGGGCTCTTTTAACCCACGTGCGCACACACACACATGCACACGCACTTTATTCTCCCTTTTTTCTCTCATGGAAGCAATTAGCCTCAACTTTTACTTGATCCGTGATGTTGAGTAAGTTACTTAATCCTTGTAGGTCTCAATTTCCTCACCTGTAAAGTGGGATAACCACAGCATGTGTCTCATTGGGTTGTGGTTCAGACTGAGTGGCGTAGTGTGGCCTGTTAGGCGGAGGGCTGAGGGAGTCAGGCGTCACCAGCAGCCAAGCGCCCACAGGGAGTGGCTGGCCTGTGTGGATGACTCCAGGGTCCAGTGAGAGGAGCATGGGAAGGCCGTGGAGACTGATTTGCTCTCTGTTCCAGCCCAAGCCCAGACTTGCCTGGTGGTGATGAAAGCAGAAAGGATGAATAGATAGGCCCCGAGAAAGCTCTGAGGGGGGCCTGCGAGAAAACGAAACCTTCTGCGCCTTTGGAACAGATCTGTCCCAGTGAGAACAGAGCTCTCAGTAATGTGTCTTTTTAGTCTGGTGCTAATCAGATGCACCATCTGCTTCAGTGTAAACTGCTTTAGGATACACATTGCTCACTTGTCTCAGCTTCCAAAACAAACAGAGAGGGAGAGGGGCGGGGAGAGAGACAGAGAGAGAGGGAAAGACATTTGGAAACTCTTCCAATGTTTATGTCCAGCTAGTGGGTTTTTCTTTGGAAACTTTATTGAGAAGCTGTTCTCTGAACTCAAAGCATCCAGTTTTCCCTTTATCAAGAGGTAGTTTCCTTCTTTCTCCCCTTCTTATCTGCTCCCCACAGTCTCTGGAGCTGCTGGGACCTCAATTCCCAATGGGCTGGGCAGCTCTGTGCGTGTGTGTGTGTGTGTGTGTGTGTGTGTGTGTGTGTGTGAGAGTGAGGGGGTTCCAGTTCCATAGCGGGTTTCTCTTTTCTAATCATCACATTAGTGCAGCTTTGGGCTGGGAATAGAGAGATTTCTTCTCACCCCAGCAGTTATTACTGTCCTTGGTGAGCTTGTGTCACACCTCTGAGCCTCCAGGTTCCACATCTGAAAAATGTGAGTAGGCATGTTGACTTTCGATCTAGGCAATCCTTGTTTATGATCACGCCTTTGTCACTTACTAGCGGCGCTCCTTTAAACAAGTGGCCTCTTTGAGCCTTGATTTCTTTAACTGCAAAACTGGGATAATGTATGTAAAACAACTGGCAGAGTGCCTGACACAGTCGCTGCCCATTTAGAGGCGTCTATTGTATCACAACAATAACCACAAGAATAACAAGGGCATCAACAACATCTCAAAGGTAGAGACATATTTATTAAATGCCAACTGTATATTAGGCTCTATATAGGGCATACACCTTTATTAAATCCTTACAAAAACTCAATTATAAAGGTATTATTATCCCCATCTTGTAGATGGGGAAACTA